GTGCAGCCTCTGTGGAAAATGGTATGGAGATTCCTCAAAGAATTAAAAATAGAGATGCCCTATGATCCAGCCATCCCACTACTGGGAATCTATCCAACGAACCTGAAATCAACAATCCAAAGAGGCTTATGCACCCCTATGTTCGTTGCAGCATTATTCACCATAGCCAAGAAGTGGAAGCAACCTAAGAGTCCCTCGACTGATAATTGGATCAAGAAAATGTGGTATATATATACAATGGAATACTACTCAGCCATTAAAAGAGACAAAATCATCCCATTTGCAGCCACATGGATGGGCCTGGAGGGTATTATGTTAAGTGAAGTAAGCCAGAAAGAGAAAGACAAACACTGTATGATCTCACTCATATGTGGAATATAAACCAACACACGGATGGAGAAAACTGTATTGTGGTTACCAGGGTCAATGGGGGTAGGGGGTGGGCACAAGGGGTGAAGGGAGTCATATATATGGTGATGGACAAACAAAAATGTACAACCCAAAATTTCACAATGTTAAAAACTATTAAAACATCAATAAAGAAAAAGGCAAGGATATTTAATATAGAGGAATGTGAAAAAATATGGAAATAAAATTCAAAGAAATATTATTAAAAAAAAAAAAGTTTTCCAAAGTAGTTTTACCTTTTTATTTTACTACCAGCAATGTACAAGAATTCCAGTGTTTCCTCATCCTCTCCAACACATGATATTGTTGTTGTTGCTGTTGGCTTTTCATTACACTCATCCTGGTGGTCATGTGCTGGTATCTCGTTGTAGTTTAATTTGTGTTTCTCTGAAATGCTGGATATCCTTTAAAGATGTTGGATATCTTTTCATGTGCATATTGGCCAATTATATTTCTTCTTTTATGAAGTTCCTTTTCAAGTCCTTTGCCCATTTTTAATTGGATTGTTTTATGATTTTTGAGGCATAACATATTTTTGTATATTCTAGATACAAGTTCTTTGTCAAATATATGTATGGCATTTGCTTCCATTTTTTGGCTTACCTTTTAATTTTCTTAATGGTGCGTTGTGATGAAAGTTTTTAATTTTGATATAGTCCAATTTATTCATTTTTTTAATGATTCATGCTTTTGGTGTCTAAGAAATCTTTCCCTAAACCAACATCACAAAAAATTTCCCCTCTGTTTTCTTCTAGAAGTTTTGTAGTTTTGGCTTTCACATTTCAGTCTGTGATCCATTTCTAATTTATTGCATTTCATATATATACATCCATATTATTATTATACACATAATATTACATATTACATATATATCAATACATTATTATGTACATCATATATAATATGATCTAAACTAATGTATACTATTATATTGATTATTAACAAATAATATAATGTTATCATTAATATTATATACTAGTGTATTAGTTTAGATATTATATATGATATATATATGTACACACTATAATCTGATATGTTTATGTATTTATTAATTAAAGGTAAGGGTTGAGCTTCATTTTTACCCATATGGATATCCAATTGTGCAAGCACTGTTTGTTAAAAAGATTATCCTTTCTCCATTGAATTATCTTGGTGACTTTATTGAAAATCAACTGACCATATATTTTGGGTCTATGTCTGGACATTTAATTCTGTTCCATTGATCTATGTTGTCTATCATTCACCAGTGTTTCACTGTATTTATCACTGTAGCTTTATAATAAGACTTAAGTTTAGGTAATGTATGTCCTCCAACTTGTTCTTTTAAAAATTGTTTTGGCTATTCTTGGTCACTATTACTTGAGCACATGTATTGTAGAGGGAATTGCAAAAGATTAGGACTGAGAGTTAGGCTAGGGCCAGACAATGCAGGATATTGTTAGTTGGGCTACACTGTTTTGTCCTGAAAACAGTGGAGGAGTATTAAAGAATTATTTGCAGAGGAGTAACATGGTTATATTTGCATTCAGGAAATCTTTCTGGGAAATCAGTGGAGCATAGATTGAGAGGATAGGACTAAAGGTTGAAAGACTAATAACCAAGGCTATTTTAGTAATCTAGGAAAGAGATGATAAGGATCTGCTTTAGGGCATTGAAACTAGAATAGCGTTGTCAAATAGAAGTCTCTGGCATGATGGTAATGTTCTAGAGCTGCTCTGTCTGATAAAGTAGCCACTGGCTACATGTTTCTACAGAGTTCTTGAAATATGACCAATGGAACCAAGGAATTAAATTTTTAATTTTAATTAATTTAAATCTAAACTTAAATGGCTACATGTGGCTAGTGGCTACTGTATTAGTGCAGAGCTTGAGAGGAAGGAATAGCCTTCAGAGAAAATAAGGAGAAAAAGTGGAAAGGATTTCATCACTGATGGAGGTCAGATTAGGGGATAAGGATAAGGGAGAGAAAGAAGTTAAAGATGACACCCAAGTTTCTGTACTGTAGTAAATTATTTAACATCTGTGTTACCACTAGAGTATGAACTTAATGAGGCTAGGGCCTGCCTATCTGAGTCAATGTTTTATCCCCAGAACCTTACATAGTGCCTAGCCTATAGCAGGTATTCAGTGAATATTTGTCGAAGGATGAAAGAAAGGGAGGGAGGGGACACAATCTGATAAGGCATTAGCCACGTTCAATATGATAAGACTAATATGAGAAGAAAATCTAGGAAGGGAAGTAGATACTAATAATATACGATGTATATTGAGGACTTAGTATGGTCAGGCACTGCTGCATATATTCTTACTTGCGTTGCATCGTTTAATCTGCACAACAGTCCTTTGAGTCAGATATTATTTTACAGACACAAAAGCTGAAAATTAGAAAAGTTAAGGAGCCTGAATAAAGTGACTTTACTGGTGGAAGTGTTAGAATGAAGGTAGTTTGGGCCCAGTTGTGGGACAAACGACTGTAGCTCTAAGACTCGGGTCTGGACTCCAGATAGATTTTGGAATCATCAGTAAAAGATGTTTACTGAAACATGTGAATGAAAGTGTTTGCTCAAGAAGAGAGAGTATAGAATGAAAATAGAGGTCTATGGGGAGAGAATCCTTGAAAGGAAACTGAGAAGTACTGAGGAAAAATGTATGTATGTAGGAGAAAACCCAGAAGAGAGACGTGTCCCAAAAACCGAGAGAGAAGGAGATGAGGAAGGGGACGGAGTGGCCCACATCTCACAGGCTGGAGAGAAGTCTTCAGAGATAAAGACTGAAATGTGGCCCATGTTTTCATGGACTTAGCAACGAGAAGGTCACTGGGTCCACGGCAGAAGCAGTTTCCTGAACTGCTTGTAAAAGCAGAACTTGTAAGCAATGGATTGAAGATTTAACTGAGCAGATTTCCAAAAAAAGTATGGAAGGCATGCCCTTGTTTCTTTTCGCTACTTATGGTAAAATGCTAGAGGAAAGACATAAATTGAGGGAAGAACTGTTAAGCAAAAAGGAACCAGGTCTGGAAGATATGAGAAATTCTCAACCTATCCAGATTACAAAAGACATTAAAATTAGAGAATCCACTGTCAAGAACGCATCCTATAGAAATTAAATCAAGGATGTAGCTAGACATCCTTTTGCTAGTATCTCTGAGGGATCAAAAGATCAAAGTATTCAATCAAACAGAGGATTCTCTGAAGCAATATGGGATGTGAATCCTGAATAACCCCAGCCATCTCAGCAGAAGCAAGGAATAGAGATGGGATTTTTCAGGAAGGATCTGCGAATGAGCCTCTTGTCTAAGAGCATGAATCTCTATGACGTACATGGGAGACTACAAGATTTTTGAGTATGTTAAATCAGCAGAGACAATGCCATCTTTAACTGAAAGAGTAGATAGAAGATGAAATGAAAGAAGGCTGTGAGACTCCTAAAATTTGACAAGCAGAAAATAGGCTAACAGAACTTCTCAGCTGCAAACTTGTGCTCAGTTCAAAATAAAGGAAAGATGATACTGAGGGCAGAGCCTAGGGCCTAGAGGGCAGAGCTACAGATCCAGGTGAAGTCATGGGATCAGAGGCAGGAGCCTCAAGCCAGAGTGGATTATTCTCAGGCCTTGAAATGTATGGAGGTTTGCCTGCTTGGGTATTGAAATTGCTTGGATCAGAGACTCTTTTCTTCCTTCTGCTTTCTCACTTTTGGAATGGAAGTGTCTATAACTGTTATCAGCTGGAAATGAAGCAAAAACAAAGCAGAAACACATAATTAGTGAAGAGGAAAATTAAAATGAAAAAAAAAAAAAACAAGAAGAAACATCTCTTGGTGTTTTGGCTTCACCTAAGATAGCGAAGAAAAGACACATCTGATCTTAAACTGAGCATGAGGTACACTTCTCTCTCTCAACAATGTTTACCTGCTTCTGACAGGTAAATCCATTGAGCATCTCATTGTGACTTCCAAGATGGTCGAAGGATATTTTTCAAACAGTGTAAAATCAAGACACTCATACAAATATGAAATGAACATGTGTTAAAAGATCCTATTTACTCCCTGAGGGAATGGGAAGATGTTATAGCTGGTTCAAAAGAAAATCCAAAGTTTAGATACAAGAATATTGATCAAGAATATTTAAATGAATGTGTAAATGGAGGCAAAACTGGTTTCATTACATAAGTGGAGGGACGATTTAATTTCTACTAGACAAGACATTTTACATGTTTATCAGTGTTCTACAACTAACAAAAGATTTTAAAAGAGCTCAAAGACAATGCAAGGCTAGAATCAGATAACATGGAGTGGTGTCCTAAAGACAGGGAAAAGTTTCCGTTGAAACACACATTTATTTTTACACTGTTAAAGTCAAGCAGAATATTACAATTCCCTCAAAATCAAGGTCCAGTCATTACAGTGACCAGATTCCTGTCATGGACATTTCTAGGCTAAGGCCTGATAAGGGCATGATGGACACCAGTGACATCCCAAAGCCTAGGATGTCACAAAGGCAGGATGTCCCTGACCAATCAGGGGCTAGAGCTCAGGGATATAGTGGGCAGGGCTGAGTGCTGGTGTCTAGAGAGACCCGGTCCAGCTGGAGAATAAAGCAGAGGTGACAGGACCCAAACCCAGCAGATATCATGGCAGAAGAGCAGAACCGTGACAGCTCCTATCAGACTCGAGCCTGTCTTCCAACAGCCGAGCTACAGTTTCCTGTGAGCTACCTGGACCGCCTTCTGCAGAAAGATGAACACGCCCAGCATCCGAGTTCATCCACAGAAGATTTCCTCGTTGCCATGCTCGACTGCCTTACCGACTACATCCTGGAGATGGTAGGCAACGAGGCCACCAATAGCAGTAGCGTCGCACAAGATGTGGAGGGAGGAGTGAACAACAACAGAGAGCCCCAGCGCCAAGTGAAGGATGCGGCCTTCACTCTGTTTGACAAGATGCCCGGAGGCAGGAAGAACGGCTGAAGCCTGGGTCCCAGAGCCTGGTGGGAGTCCTCAGCCACAGCTCAAGCAGAAAGTTCTCACAGCTGAGGAGTCCTGGCTTCTGTCATTCAATGAATGCTATTAAAGGATTAGAATCCATTGCTGTGTTTCTGACTCCTCTCCGTTTCTGTCATTTTGAGTTAGAGGTATCTGTGAGACATCCAGGATGAGACGTCTTATGGGGGTTTGGAGGGGGAGAGGGTGTGGGCAGTGTGGGATGGTGGGCAGTGTGGGATGCTGGAATCGGTGATTTCTGGGAGCAGTTTCTCATGGTGACAGTGTGGGGAGTGGCTGTGGTGGGAGTAGCTGGCTGAGGTTGTGGGGAGAGAAGACTTCCTCACTGGCTCTGAGCAAGTCAAGGCCTGTGAGGCCAGGAGGTTTGGTGGGGGCGGGGGGGTGCCGGGGGGCTCGCGCACGAGGCATGTCGGATTCCCAGAATGATGGCGGTAACTGCGGAGGGCCTGAGGATCGTGACTGAGTGGCAAAGGCTTTATTCACGATAGGGAACGTCGAAAAGTCAGGAGGGGATGGCAACGGGGGTGGGTGGAGAGGGCGGCATAGCAGTTGACATGAACTTAATGGGACAGGGGCTTTACATGGAGATTGAGGAGTGATGGGGAAACCATAAAGAACTATACATAAAAGGAATTATCATCAGGTTGATTTCATTTATTTATACCCTGCCTCATTCCAAAAAAAGGAATTGAGACAGGAGTTATTAGCTAGTGCTGTAACACTCTGTGGAGTATATCCTTCTGTCCTCTTGTGAACACTGGTGAATTAAACAGTAATATTATATAAAAGCTACTGTCTGGTCTAAAACAGGCAATTCAAGAGGTTCTTCATTGTTATTAACTAATGAATGGGCTTACTTATAAATATATTTCATTTCAAACATAATTATCAATCTCATTCTCTGATGAAACATCTGATCATTTTAATGGTCACATATTTGATAGAATAACAAAGAATTATCAGTGGTTGAATACATGCCTTGAGAGGTATAAGTATAACCTGTGTAAATTCTGTCCCAAATAGTGGACTCAGAAGCACATAGAATTCTTATAAACACTTTCATGTGCTAAGTTAAAAAAAGTTGTCACATCAAGTGTAGAAAACTAACCTTTCCCCTGTGTCAACGTTTGAGAATGTCACCTATTCATGGGATCCTCCAGAGCCACCCTCTGCAGCCTCCTGGCCTGTCATAGAGGGCTGGTCAGAGGCTGCCCAGCCGGCTTCAACAATGGGATCAGAGGACCTGGATTGGCCATCCCAGTTCACCACTTTGTGGCCCTGTGGTCTTGGATATTCATCTTCCCTCTGAGCAGCAGTTTCCTCGTGTGTCTAATGGGGGTAACAAGAGTTCCTCCATCTTCAGGTTTTCCCAAAGATTAAGTCAACGTGTGTCAGTAAACTGCTGCGTGGCACAGTGCCTGGCACAGAGTACACCCTTAATAAAGAGCTGCATGTATCTCCCTCCCTATAGACCAGATGCTTAGGTGTGCTTCTCCAAGGGGCTGCTGGCCTGGTTCTCATGTGAGAACTTGAGCCACTGGCTGTGAAAACCACAGCCTGCTGAGCATGTGGAGAGACAGACGAGCGCCATGCAGAGGAAGAAGCCACAACTACACCCAGGAAGCAGACAGTTCTCACCCTGGTTTCCCCTCTGCCTGGTGCCTCACTCTCTCTCTGCCTCCTTCCACCATCTATTAAAGCCTGGAGGTGGCTCAGCCTTTGCCTACTTCACAGGAGGGTCCTGAGAATAATAGTGTCGGGATTGTGCTTAGAGCTTGTTGGAATATGTGCTTGTGTAAATCCAAGAAACTTTTCTTGCCACATAGTGCCATCGTACCAGATATTTACAGAAACCTCATTGTCAAGATGTCCACCCCACAAATTTGTGACTTGTCATGGAGAGCCATGAAGCCCTCCTAGCCTTAGCCAAGTTCAGCTGTTACTCTTCTGTTCATGTGAGTGGGAAGCAGGCCTCTCCCCAGCAACTGCAGGTGGAGAGTCACCTTCAGCTGATCACGTGAAAGCACCAGCTTTGCCACCGCATCCCTGAAGTGGAGCATCTTTGTGTCTAGGGCATGGTTTCCCATATTCCAGTGTCCTTCAGCCAACAGGGAGTGCCTCCAGAGTGGGTAATTCCAGGGAATCAATCATTATACTAAGATCTTGATATGTTGGTTAAATAGCTGTCTGACTTTCAAAAAAAAAAAAAAACTGTTGATTTTGGCTTATGGCTATGGTTTGTTATAGAACTGAACATGGTCTTCTGGATTCTTCACTGGAAGGCATAGCTGAGGAATTGAAGGCCAGAGAAGCCATAATAGGTGGATACACCATGTCGAGTTAGCAGGTCTGTGTGGTCAGGTGGTCCCCTTACAGTCCATGCAGTCGTCGACAGCACTGGTCACTGTGACACCTGTCGGGAGCCAGGCTTCCTGGGATCTTTCAGACTCTCTGATGTCCCAGGTGGAGTTTGAAGGTTGAGCTTTAATGACAAGTGTTGTCAAGTCCCCTGCAGAGTCACAGAGACACGGGAGAATGAGGCAGAGCAGTACTGCCATCCCTTCAGGAATGGTGCTTCAGCTGTGCTTGTGGATTTCACAGGAAACATGGGGGCCACGGCCCGCATGGTGTCGGTCTAAATGTGACACCCTGCCCTATACCTCTCCTACACATGCACACTCAGGGGAGGAAGGTAGCTAGAGAGTGAGAATCACTGCCCTTGGGAAAGAATGAGCCACCCACGTTTAGGCTTTTTGTGCCTTTTGAAAAGGTGAGGGGGGGGGGATGGTGAGGAAGGATTTGCTGTAGCTTCGGCCCTGCGGATAGGCCACCATTGATGACCAGTGCCCTGCTGGGAGTGCAAAAACTAAAACCGGAGTGAGTAGGGACAGGGGCTGGAGAGGGTGTGGCTGCCAAACCGGGTCTGTGATCAAAAGCTGTGTCAGGGCAGGCCAGGGTCAGACACCAGACACAGGAGGAAACATCACATGTGAGAAGAGATGAGCCCAAGAGTTGAACAGGAGGGGAACGTGGAGGGTAGTGTCGGCACAAGGCCTGGGCACTAGGCTGGCCTCCTACTGAGAACAATCTGTGAGAACATTGGTGTTTTGAAGGCCCAGGCTCCCTTGGTCCCTGTATCTGACAAATCCTGCAGGACGTGGCCAGAGGGAGACCACTTAACTATTTAGAAAGGGCTTTTGGAGTCGCAAGATAGGATATAAGAAAGAGGAGACTATGAACATCAATATATCGTTTCCCTAAAGAACAAATTACAAAGTGGCAGCTCACAGACATAATCCAGGCAGCAGATAGGATCACTGGGCCTACACTGATGTTTTTAAAGGAAAATTAATTAGCTCAACATTTAAAACTCAAGAACTTTTTACTTGGAAGCCTCAATTACTGGCTTCTCTTGTGAAATCAAAGTGTCTGGGTATACATGGTTCTAGTCAGATGAAGATGACTAGCTGCTGTCCCATTCATACTGGGCCACTCTGGTTCGCCACAGCACTCACCCTTCCCTGTTGTGTCTCATGTGTGACCCACTTCGCTCATTTACAGTACCTATCTGGCTCCTAAAGATGCCTGAGTTCATTATTCCCATTGTAGTTTAATTCTAAAACCATAGTTTTCTAAAGGATGAAATCTTCTCATACGATGAATCAATACAATGCAGTGCTCTTCAGATTGTGGTATAGGGCCAATATTTTCTGTTATTATTGTACAAATTCATTGTGAACTGGTATATGGTCCTATTGTACATGAGTAGTATGGAGCTTACATTTGACTCTTCACTTGAGGTCAACAGCACCTGAACTAATACATACCCTGTTCAACAAGATGACTCCTCCCACTTATTCTCATCGCAAAGCCAGATTGCTATAAAGGTCACTAAATGCCACCTCTCAATTTCCATACCTGTTGTAGCTGACCAGTAACAAATAATTTAATGACCTATATTAGTCCACAAATCACATTTGAATAGCATTGCAATAGTGAGTTTTATTTCATTCTTTTAGAAGTATGGTTTCAAATATAAGGAAAGGCAATACACAGGACCTGCATTTGGTGTTTCATTTAGTGTTTCTCCTCCAGAGTCCTTCATGAACACAGAAGATTTGTCTTTCTTATATTTAGGGTTCTAGAATCACTGTGGGGAAAATATCTCTAAACTTCTGTTAAAGCAAAATCTGCTAAATGAACCCAGTTGGCAGCAGGGAGGCAGGTTAGATATTGTGGTTGTGAGATATTTGGGTTCTGAAATAGAACGATGGATGAAAGGAATTCACCAACTCAACTGTGGAGGACAGAGTCTTCGTGACATATTGGGACAAAATAGTGAAAGAAGAGGGAGGGAAACTGGACTCTGGTCTCCCGTAAGTGTAGTTTACTTGGGGGCATATCAGCTTCCATGGTTGTCAAATGAGGAGGTTGGGCTAAATTATTTCAAAGGTTGGCTTGAAGTGTACCATTACCAGCCTACGATCTTTCCCTAAGAAAAGTTCTCTACTGAAAGTGGGTAAGAGGGGCACAGAGGACAGGGATTGTTTTTTAGGGTCTCCATTTTACAGCTGAGGCCACTTTGGACCAGAGATGGTAATCAGCTCTCCCAAGGTCATACGCCGAGTGGGTAGAACAGCAAGTGTGACAGTCCTGTTCTTGTACCTGTTGTTGAGGCTCCTCCTCTACTATCCTGAGAAATGGGTGGTCTCTACATAGAACGTGTTTAATGTTCTGCTTGGGGAAAAAGAAGCTAAATGCTTCAATGCAAAGATGTTAGAGTCTATTGGATTTCTAGGAAAGCACTCTCAACAACTCGCTCTCAAGAACTTTCACTGTCTTTGATTTGGAGGCCAGACAGGTTAGGATCAAAGGACTGATTCTGTAGTTCAGGTCTTTGGACTTTGCAAACTTAGGTCTTGTTCCACTGGACATTGTGATGGCCGTGTCATTAACCCTCTCCTTGTTATATAAGGTGTTCTTGAAATTCTGACTCCGTCCACTGACATGGTCTCAAAGGTGATTATGTCGTGACATCAGAACCCTGTGCCCAAGAGCCTATTCTTTGAAGTACCTGAGTTACTATCTTTTTTTCATGGGGTTCTAAGACCATTCTTCTTTAAGTCAAAATCTTTGGCTTGTAACTGATTGTAGGGCCTTCAAGGAAGCGTCAATGTAAAACAACAAACTGGAGGGGACAGAAATTTATGGCTGAGCTTAACTTATTACTGACAATTTTCACAAGTGAAAATCTTGTGGGAGGGCATCACAACAATCATGCAACTGAAGGCGAAATTACTTTTTTTCTGTCATATGCAAAAGAAGAAAATAAGTCAGAAAAAGAGTTTTTGACCAAGTGTCTATAAGCATAATGATTTAGCCCTTTTTCACTAAAGTATGGAGCAGGTCCTAGACATGGATTTTAATAAAATCTCATTAGTGAATTAGAGTTCTCCAGAAAAAAACTGAACCCATAGGAGATATATATATATGATTGGTTCAAGCAATTACCTGGTCTGACAAATCCTAATTGTATAAGGTAGACCAACAGGCTGGACACTCTGGCTAGATTTCTATGTTACAGTATGGCTAAATTCTCTCTTCTCCAAGAACCCTCGGTTTTTGTTCTTAAGACCTTCAACTCATTGGATGAGGGTAATTTCCTTTACTTATACAGTCATCCCTCCATATCCACGGGTTCTGCATCCACGGATTCAACCAACCACGGATCTGAAACCTGTGGATATGGAGGGCCAACTAAGGGACTTGAGCATCTGCAGATTTTGGTATCCACAGGGGAATCCTGGAACCAATCCCTTGCAGATACCAAGGGAGAACTATAGTCAACTGATTGTAGACGTTAATCACATCTAGAAAGCAACGTCTTCACAGCAACATCGAGACTAGTATTTCACCCAACTGGGCCTAGCACAATTGAAGCACAGAATTTAACCATCACAATAGGTAGGTTTGATGTGTATCCTCAGTTGAAAAACAGTCGCCTAGAAGATGCACCAGCAGTACTCTGACGATTAGCAACATAACATGGACAGCGAGAATATTGACAAGCCTTGAGAAACTTCCCATACAGTATAGAACATCTGAAATATTAATATTTTCTCTATTCATATTTAACCTAGGGAAGTCTGAGCACCTCTTTTGATTTGACAATTTTCTGTGTAACTCATCAATAGTAACAAGTCCGATAAATCTAATTATTTCTGGCACCTCTCTTTTTTATAAAATGAAAATATAAATCTTTATGACTTTTCAGGGGCCCTGTGAGAAATCAGTTTAAAACCAAAGACAATTTTAAGTGCAAAAGATACTGTGAAGTATTTTTATTTCAATTTTCATTAGGATTTGATTTTGGGAATGCTAAAATCGAAAGTTGCCTGGACATTTGCTTAAGATAGAATCATGAGAGCCTAAGAACATGAATGGTTGTGGCTTGGCTATGTATTAATTCAGTGGCAAGACAGTATTTAAGTAAACCTTGAAAAGTCCTTAAGACTTCAGAAATTCAGAACTATTGTTGCTTCTTTATTTTAAAGAGAATAATTAAAGACATGTTGAAGTCAGAACAAAGGTGTATTCTGGTGAGATATAGAATCTCTGCTACTTGGGCATATTATGTGTAAAGTGATGTCGTAGGGTGAAATAAGGTTTCCTAAAACGTTCAGGTCCTAATCCCTAGAACCTGTGAATGTTACTTTATATTTTGCAAATAAGACTTTGCATATGTGAGTCAGTTAAAGATATTGAGGTGGAGATATTATTATGTTGGATAATTGTGGTTGGCCCTAGTAATCAAAGTGTCCTTATAAGAGAGAGGCAGAGGGAAATTTGAGTACAAAAGCAAAGAACAATGTGACAATTGAAGCAAGATGCTACACTCCTGGCTTTGAAGATGGAGGAAGAAGCCATGAGCCAAGAAATGCAAACGACTCGGCTCCAGAGGCTTGAAAAGGCAAGGAAACAGATTCTATCCTAGAGCTTCCAAAGGTAATGCAGCCCTGTCGACACCTTGATTTTTAGCCCAGTGAAACTAATTTCAGATTTATGACCTATAAGAGAATAAATGTGTATTGTTTTAAGTCACCAAGTTTGTGGTAATTTGTTGCAGCCACCATAGGGAACTAATACAGGTGAAGAGTAAACTTTTACAACTCCTTATTAAGAGCAGACCAATACTCCAATACAACTTAGTCTTGTTCACAGAGAACAAACTAAATTCTACATTTGCTTTAATATTTGGTTCTGAAAGACCCACAAACTTCTTTTGAAAACCTTACGAACAAACCCATCAAAACTGAACCACACTTGGAAAAAAATTAAAACAAATTTATGTTCCCTTTCAGATGCTCTTTTTACAAACCTTCCATAGCTTTCTGTATGCATTCAGATTTTGTCCTTCAACATCCAGTGTCACATTCTGAAACCGCATGTCATTCTACCTCAAGACAGAAATATTTTCTTTTTTACTCTTAATCAAACAAAAGAACTCCACTTCTCATTATCTTGAAACTCCTAGTAGACTCTCATTCATGTGTATTAATTATAACTTTTAAGCAAAATCCCTTGTATTTCACAGGGAAAACTAGAGGATGAATAATTGTGAGTTTCTGTCAGTTTAGCAGACCTAGCAGATTTCATGCATACACCTAACCCAGCTTTATTCAGCCACATACCTTATACAACTTCTCACTTTGGCAGAAATGAACATGTTCGTTAACAGACTCAAAGATAAAACTTCTTTGTAGCATGTACAAATAAGAAGCAAAAGTATATAAATTAAAATTATGCTTAGTCACCAATGTTTCACTATCCTGTCTTAGAAATTATCTAGGCATCTATTAAATGCCTGTTAAGTAACTCAATATGAGTCCACGTTTATACATTATGTAAATATCTTGAAAAGTATCCTCAAGCTGACGTACTATGAAACTTTATTACTGTAGAAAGACAAGTTTGTCAAAACAGTGATTCAACTTACTTAACTATAAACTTACATATTTCATAATCTTAAACATAAAATATATGTCTTACTGGTTATGTGATCAGTAAAAATTTATAAGTTTAGGAAAAACATACCTAAGTAGTATATAAATGTACCTTTGTATTACAGTTAACACTGATAAATAAGAGAAGACTTAGCTGTTTTCATTAAACCCAAACTATGAAACTAGTCCTGTTTGCCAAAGATTTACGTAAATTAGGTGAATTTGATTTCTTCAAATAGTTGTGAGTTGGTTTCTGGGAGAATATATATTGTTTAAATCTAGCTCATTGGAAGTATCATAGTTCAATTTCCTTATTTGCAAGGAAATTCAGGAATATTCAATTTATATAAGCAATTATTTATCTAGACATGCCAATTAGAACAGAGCTCCATTAATTTAAGGAATTTTATGATCTGATATATCAATATCATCCAGAGGTAGGAAAACATTACATGCACTCTCAGAGGTGAAGGCATTTCTGAATTACAGACACATAGATATATGGGCACAGAGAAATAGAGATTATATTCTACCGTTTTAGCCATGGGTCAAGTATAAACACAGAAACAGAAAAACACATCAGTCCAGATATCAAAAAGTTTTTCTCCTCCCAGAGGGTATGAAATTCTTAATTGAATAGACAAATAGACAAAAACAATCTAGATTCTCGGTTGTCTCTCACCCAACGGAGACTAGATCTCCATGGACCCATTTACAGAGATCACCAGATGGTCCGATCCTAAAACCGAATTCTCAACCATTTCTGACAACAATGGGAACAACATATCAGCTGCAAATAAACAAAAACAAAGCAAACACAAAATTAGTAGAGAGGAAAATTAAAAAATTAAATATTAAAAATTAAAATTAGAAAAACAAATCAATAAAGTCCTATTGGTGCTTTGGATTCACCTAGAAGAAACAAGACACAACACTCCTGGGCTTTAACTGAGAATGAGATGCACTTCTCTGTCTTTGAATTTTCCTTGGCTCTAACAGGTGAATCCACTGGGCATATCAATGTGACCTCCAAAATATGTTAAAGGATATTTTCAAACAGTAAAATCACGACACTCATACAGACATGAAATGGAAATGTGTTCAGAGATTCCAACTCATGAGGGAATTGGCAGATATTATGACCAACTCAAAAGAGAATCCAAAGAAGAAACAGAAATATAGATTATGAAGTTTTAAATGTGTAAAGGGATGCAAAATTGGTTTTATTACAATGTGAGAGAGGAGACAAATGGACCTCTACTGGACAAGGCATTCAGTATGTCTGTCAGTGAGCAACAATTTGCAAAGGGATGTAAAAGGGCTCAAAGACAATGCAAAGCTAGAATCAGATAACCTGGAGTGGTGTCTTATAGACAGGGCAATGGTTCCTTTGAAACATTCCTTTTTTTTTTTTTTTTAACTAGACTTTGAAAGTCAAAGTAGGAAGTTAGAGTTCAGTGAAAAAGAGGGTCTAGTCAAGAGGGAGACCAGGTTTCTATCACGGACATTTCTAGGCCAGTCCTGATCAGGGCCCAGTGGACACCAGTGATATCACAAAGTCTGCGTGGTCACAGAGGCAGCTCCCTGACCAATGAGGGGCTGGAGCCCAGGGATATAGTGGACAGGAGTAAACGCTGGTATCCAGAGAGGCCCAGACCAGCAGACAATCCAGCCAGGCCGATCGGGGCAAAACCCAGCAGACATCATGCCTGGGAAGAGAAGTCGCCAGCTCTCGCTTAGGCGTAAGAGGCAGGCCCAATCCCGCTCTACGAGAGCTGAGCTGCAGTTCCCCGTTAGCCGCGTGGACCACTTCCTGCGACAGGGTCCCTATGGCCAGCGCCTGAGCTCGTCCACACCTGTTTTCCTCGCTGGTGTTCTCGAATACCTGACGGCCAATATCCTGGAGCAGGCGAGCAAGGAGGCCCACAGCAGCCGAAAGATCCGCATCACCCCAGAACACGTGCAGAGGGCCGTAGACAACAACCTGAACCTCAGCCACCTCTTTGAGAATGACACCTACCGTCAGGATGAGCAGATGCCACAACCCAGTAGGAAGTGATGCCTGGGTCCCAGAGCCCAGCGAGACCTCCTCAACAGCTTCATCTCATCCCCCAAACTGCCCAGATGAGGGGGACTTGGTCTGCCGTCAGCGCATACTAATAAAGCGTTTATTGCTGTGCTCTGACTCCTCTCAGTTTCTGTCATTTTGAGTTAGAGGTATCTGTGAGACATCCAGGATGAGACGTCTCATGGAGGGTTGGAGGGGGAGAGGGTGTGGGCAGTGTGGGATGATGGGCATTGTGGGATGCTGGAATCGGTGATTTCTGGGAGCAGTTTCTCATGGTGACAGTGTGGGGAGTGGCCGTGGTGGGAGTAGCTGGCTGAGGTCGTGGGGAGAGAAGACTTCCTCACTGGCTCTAAGCAAGTCAAGGCCTGTGAGGCCAGGAGGTTTGGTGGGCAGTGGGGGCCGAGTGCTTCAGGCATGTCGGTTTCCCAGAATAACGGCGGTAACTGCGGAGGGCCTGAAGATCGTGACTGAGTGGCAAAGGCTTTATTCACGATAGGGAACGTCGAAAAGTCAGGAGAGGATGGCAATGGGGGTGGGTGGAGAGGGCGGCATAGCAGTTGACATGAACTTAATGGGACAGGGGCTTTACATGGAGATTTAGGAGTGATGGGGAAACCATAAAGAACTATATGTAAAAGGAATTATCATCAGGTTGATTTATTTATACCCTGCCACATTCCAAAAAATGGAATCAAGACAGGAATTATTAGCTAGTGCTGTGATACTCTGTGGAGTATATCTTTCTGTCCTCTTGTGAACACTGGTGAATTAAATAGTAATATTATATAAAAGCTACTCTGTTGTCTAAGACAGTTCAAGAGGTTCTTCATTGTTATTAATTAATGAGCTTACTTATAAATGTATTTCATTTCAAATATAATTATCAATCTCATTCTCTGATCAAACATCAGGTCATTTTAAAGGTCACATATTTGATAGAATAACAAAGAATTATCAGTGGCTGAATACATGCTTCGAGAGGTATAAGTATAGCCTGTGTAAATTCTGTCTGAAGTGATGGGCTCAAAAGCATCTATGATTGTTGTAAACATTTTCATGCTCTGTGTTAAGTTTAAAAAGTTGTCACATCAAGTGTTGTAGCAGTGTAACTCCTCCCCTGTGAGTGTCAACGTTTGTGAATGTCACCTATTCATAGGATCCTCCAGGGCCACCCTCTGCAGCCTCCTCGCTTGTCATAGAGGGCTGGTCTGAGGCTACCCAGCCAGCTTCAACGATGGGATCAGAGGACCTGGGATGGCCATCCCAGTTCACCCTTTTGTGGCCCTGTGGTCTTGGTCATTCATCTATTCCCCTTGAGCAGCAATTTCTTCATGTGTCAAATAGGGTTAACAGTTTCTCCATCTTCAGGTTTTCTCAAAGGTTAAGTCAATGTGTGTCAGTAAACTGCTGCGTGGCACAGTGCCTGGCACAGAGTATGCCCTTAATAAAGAGCTGCATGTATCTCCCTCCCTATAGACCAGATGCTTAGGCGTGCTTCCCCAAGGCGCCGCTGGGCCTGGTTCTCACGTGATTGCTGGGTGCTTGAGCCACTGGCTGTGAAAACCACAGCTGCTGAGCCTTGTGGAGAGACAGACGAGCGCCATGCAGAGGAGGAAGCCACAACTACACCCAGGAAGCAGACGGTTCTCACCCTGGTTTCCTCTCTGCTCTCCTCTGCCTGATGACTCACTCTCGGCCTCCTTCCGCCATCTATTAAAGCTTGGAGCTGGCTTAGCCTTTGCCTACTTCACAGGAGGGTCCTGAGAATAATAATGTCAGGGTTATGCTTAGAGCTTGTTGGAATATGTGCCCGTATAAATCCAAGAATCTTTTCTTGCCACATAATGCCATTAAGCCAAATATTTACAGAAACTTCCTTGTCAAGGTATGCACCCCACAAATTTTATTTTTAGGTTTCCTTACACTTTATTTTAGTAATTCAGTGATAGTCATGTGGGGGGAGCATCAAGGAGCTGTCTCAGGCAGCATCGGCCTCTTGGGCAGCTTTTCTCTCTGCCAGTATGCTCTGCTTCTGTTTGGCCAGGTACTTCGTGGCTGAGTAATGGGCCCCCTAGGTCATGATAATGGTCCTGGTAGGTCTTGGCCACCTAGGTGAACTGCTCCAGCTCCTTGGTGATTTGTTATAGAGAGCCATGAAGCCCTGCTAACCTAGCCAAGTTCAACTCTTACTCTCCTCTTCATTTGAATTGGCAAGCAGGCCTCCCCAGCAACTGCAGGTGGAGAGTCACCAGGTTCTGGTCTCTTGAAAGTGTAGTTTACTTGGGGACACATCATCTTCGATGGCTATAAAATGAGGAGGTTGGACTAAATTATTTCAGAGGTCTGCTCGAGGTGTAGAATTATCAGTCTATTGTCTTTTCCTAAGAAAAATTCTCTACTGAAAGTGGGTAAGTGGGGCATAGGAGACAGGAATTATTTTTTAGGATCTTCATTTTACATCTGAGGCCACTTTGGCCCGGAGATGGTAATCAGCTCTCCCAAGGGCACAGCAAAAGGGAGAGCCTGGCTCTCCTACTTGTTGTCGAGGCTCTTCCTCTACTCTATCCTGAGAAACGGGCCATGAGATAAAAAGTGTTTTGTGTTCTCCTCTGGGAAAAAGAAGCTAAACTCTTCAATACAGATCTTAGGCTCTCTTCGATTTAGGAAAACACTCTCAACAACTCACTCTCCAGAACTTTCACTTGTGTTTTATTTGGGAAATTCTGATAGGTTAGGATACAAGTATTGATTTCATAGTATAGGTCTTTGTACTTTGCAAACCTAGGTCTTGTTCCACTGTGTATTATGTTAAACTGTGTGATTAACACGTCTGCTTTGCAGTTAACTTTTTCTCGAGATTCTGAGTCTGTCCACTGACATGGTCTTAAAGGTGCTTATGTGATGACATCAGAAGGCTCTGCTCAAGAGCCTGTTCTTTGAAGTACCTGTCCTTTTCCTGGGGGTTCTTAGACAGTCCTTCTTTGTTGAAAACAAGATCTCTGTCCTGTAGGTGATTGTACAGTCTTATCGGAACCATGAGAGTTAAACAAAAAACAATCTGGAGAGACAGACACTTAAAATGACTGTGTTTAACTTGCTACTGATAATTTGCACAAGAGAAAATTTATGTGGAAGGGCATAACAAAAACAATGCAAGTGCAAGTGAAATTACTTTTTTTCTGTGGTATGCAAAAAAGATAATAAAGCCAATTCAAAAATAAGTTTTTGGACAGAAGGTCTTTTAACATAATGATTAAGACTATTTTAGAAAAAGTCTGGAGTGGGTCCTGAACATCTGTATTTTAATAAACTCTAGTGATAAATTTTATATGCATCCTGAATTTGAAAGCACTGGTCTAGAAGATTCTAGGTGCAAATTAAAATAGTATGATTGCAGTCAAATGTAAAAATAACAGTTGAAGTTATACCTGGTAACACTATAGTGTTGTTGCCTAATATCGTCCAGGAAAGTACCACCAGGACTTTGGTAAATAGACGTGTAATGGACAGTGAGGGTGCTGACAAATCTCTGGGACCTTCCTGTACGTGATACAATTTCTAAAATATTTATGTTAATAATATTTTCCCCATTCAGATTTCTCCCAGGGAAGTTTAATCACCTCTTTTGATAATTTTTCCATGTAACTTATAAATAGTCTATCAAATAAATCTAATAATTCTACCACCTCTCTTTTTTTAAGGTAACAGAGTCTTTGTGACTTCCAGGGTCTTCTGGGAAATCTCGAATAGAGTTTTTAAGTGCAAAATATATTTTGAAGTATTATTTTCATTTTTCATTTAGGATTCATTTCGGGGAAGGCAAAAATAAAATTGCCAGGACATTTGAACACTTAAGATAGGATTATGGAAACCTGAGAATGTGAATGGTTGTAGTTTGGCTACCTATTACTCAAAGTGGCAAATACAATAAATAAACATTCAGAAACTATGTAACTTTTATTGTCTCTTTTATTTTAAAGAGAATAATCAGGGTCATGATAAAGTCAGAAGAAAGTGTAGAAAGTTATTGTGATGAGATACAGAATGTCTGCTTTTTTGGGCAGATTACAAAGAAGGTAGCTCAGAGAAACTGATTTCGAACTTTTGACCTTCAGAACTGTAAGCAAATAAATGAATTCTTTTTTTAAGCCATCAAGGTTGTGGTAATTTGTTGGAGCAGTCATAGGAAACTAATACAGCTGAGGAGTGACCTTTTACAATTTATTATTATGAGCAGACCCATACTCTAACAAAACTTGGTCTTTTTTGCTAAGAGCAAATCAAATTCTTGGATTGAGTTCAATATTCAACATAATATTTGATACTTAAGTAACTACAAGCTCTTTTTGAAAATCTTCTCAATAAACTCATGAAAACTGAGTCAGATTTGGAAAATTTTAACACAAATTTATGTTCCTTTTCAAATTCTATTTCCATGAACCTTCTACAGCTTTCTGTATGTGCTCAGTTTTGTATTTCAGCACCTTCTTTCCTATTCTGGAACAAAAAGCTATTTTACTTTAGAACAGAAACATTCTCTTTTTTGCCCTTAATGTTGAGACCCCTAGTAGAGTCTCATTCATGTGTATTAATTATAACTTTTAAGCAAAGTCACTTCTATTTCACAAAGAAGACTAGGGTCCATAACTATGTACTGTCTGTGATTTTACCAAACTAGCTCATGCATATACCTGACCCAGCTTTATTCGGCCGTACACATTCCTTATACAGCTTCTTTTTTTATATCATTTTATTTATTTATTTCTTTTCCCCCAAAGCCCCAGTAGATAGTTGTATGTCGTAGTTGCACATCCTTCTAGTTGCTGTATGTGGAATGCCACCTCAGCATGGCCGGAGAAGCGGTGCGTCGGTGCGCGCCCGGGATCCGAACCTGGGCCGCCAGCAGCAGAGCGCGCGCACTTAACTGCTAAGCCACGGGGCCGGCCTCTTACACAGCTTCTCAATGTGGCAGAAACGAGCATGTTCATTGACAGACCTAAAGATGTAGCCTCTTTGTAGCAT